ATAACCCCATAAAGCAAAAACTTTCAGAAGCATCGCAAACTATCAAACAACGTATTTCCCGCCGAAAAAAAGGATTCGAATCATGAAAAATATCACCTTCAACAAGAAAGATGTGATTCCAGTCTATTCTGACATAACTGGCGAAACCATCGAGTCCATTTCTATTCCGAATTCTCTTTTTGATTATACCGAGGCGAACTATTTCAACCAGACCACAGAGCATAATTTGTAAAAATGTCGGAGGAAGACAACAATATTGTACGTTTTTGATTTTTCAGTTCAAGTTTCAAAAAAAGTTTCAGATCAAATGCAACTGTTGTTCTTCTGATCCGGACAAAAAAGTGGTTCCATGCTATGAGAATAAAAACTGTCCATGTTTCATCATGAATGAAAAACTGTAGAAGTTTCAAAAGCCAATAAATGGTAACCCCCCTGCCAAATTTTAAGTTCTGAATTTTTCTATTTTTTGGTGAATAACCCCATTATATAGTTTCAATAAATGAAAATTTTAACTCTGAGACTTTGATATTTCGGCCTTCGCCGTAAATGGAACTGTCTACTTTACGTCCCTGCGAGATCACAGTTCTTTGTTCCAAAACTCGGCAAATCTGTCTCGTTTTTCCATCATCAAAAAACGCATAAAATCTATGATTGGAGTTTAATTCTGGGTCAGAATTGATATTTTCTATCATCTCTCCATGTGCTGAAATTCGTTGTTTCAGCTCGTCAATCTCCACTTCTTGAACGAAGTTTTTCACCACGCTTCGTCTTTTATCGTAACAGTTCGCTCTGGTGTACTCCGCAAAACCGTCATCGACCTCAAAGGGCAGAGGCTGAAACCAAATTTCTATTTGGAAAAATCTTTTTTTTGTTGTTGAAAACCTGAGATGTTTCGGCATTTGTGGTGAGATATTGTGTCATGTTATAATCCTCTGGCGCAAGCTCGCGTAGCGCTTTCATGGTTTCTTCTGCAGACATCATTTTCTGTATCTGAAAAAACAATAATGCACAGTGATGTTCGGCCTTTTTGGAACTTTCCGGAATGTCGAAAAGTACGAATTTCAAATTTTCGGAATCTCGGAATTTTCCGATTTTAAAAATTTTCGGAAATGTCCGGAATTTCTTATCACAAAAATGCGAAAAATTCGTGGAAAATGCCGCGATCGAAGTTGATTTCCAGGAGTAATTTCCTGGAAAAACGCTGTCCAAAGCTGCCATTGTTTTCCAG